CCCAGCCTGTCTTATCTGCACTTTTGCTCTTGTCTATAGATATAATATACGGGGCTGCTTTATAGTCCAAACGCTGCAGTAATTCTATTTATTATAGCTTGCTTTTCTTAAAAAGCCTGATACATATTTTTCACCAGGAGAGGTTTTTTCAGTAAATCCCTTGCAGAAATTGTACATTATGCTAAATCTAATGCACTGTAATGCTCATTTATGCAGATAATTTTTTTTAACCAAGATTTGCAAATCATGGTGTGGACGTTTCTAAGAAAATAAAAAAGATATTTTTTTTCCCCCCGAAATTGACACTTACAATGAGACTAATTACAAGAACAGGAAAATCTTGCCTATAGGGTGGAGATTATACATTACCATGTTAATTTTTTTTAAGTCTTTGAGAAAACAAAAAAATGAGGAATTTGGAGGAAATCGGTGCAAGCTGTTAAGTCTCAAATAAGAGATATTTGCGTTCTAATTTTGACAGTATTATGATGCAATCGAGAAAATTTAAAGAAGCTTTTTTTTCCCCTGAGAGAAACAGTTAGAAAATCCAATTATTGTTGCTGTTTTTTTTTTAAAAGGGATGTTTTTAACAACAAAATATAGCCACAGTTTACTTATAGTGAAATTATGAAAGTATAATATTATATACTGGTTTTAGAAGAAAACTTCTGGAACTTTGAAACATTCCTTTTAACTTCTCCTTTTTGGGTGACATAATGAAACACAAATATTGGGGAGAAAAAAAATTTCTTCTAACATTTATTTTTCTTAGCAGACAGAGCTATGGTACAGTCCAAATATTTGTTTTATGATAATGCACAGACAATGTAAACACCTGAAAGCTTATAAAAACACATCCTACATTTGCTGTTGCTGAGGTAAATTATCTGTTCCTCAGAGACCCTATATTTGGTGTTTAACGAGATTAAACGGTAATGCAAAGGTGTCTCAATACTTAGGCAAATAAAACCGAACCATACTTAATTTTTGTATGTTAAGAAGCTGAGATAATCCACGTTTAAAAAAAAAAAAAAAAAAAAGTTTTTTTACCCCATTTATCACACCC